TAGCCATTCTGGGTGTGTTTCATCCATTAGCAGCCTGCTCATTTGTACTACCAGATGCTCATGGAGTGCAGTCAGTTTCCTCAGCCAGTAGACGTTAATTATGTCGAGGCCTTGTGGTGTCCAACTTGTCCATAATAAAGAACCCTTTTTGCCACTGTGATGGTTGCTGGACCCTGTTCAGGGAGGTCTGTCTGATCTGCTCTTAGATTCACTAGCCACTGTTATGTGTTGCAGCCTTCTCCCATATGGTCTTCCAGTATTGCTCCATCTCCAGACACAAAAGTTTGGACACGCCTTCTTATTTAATGTTTTTCTTAATTTTTTACTACTTTCTACTAGAGATGGCACGATAACGATACCACTTTTTTATGTCCGATACCGATACCAATATCATACATTTGGATGTCTGCCGATACCGATATGAATCAGATATAGTGTATTTTATAATCAATAAAACTGTCTTTTTTAATATCTTGCTGCATTTTGTAAAAGTTCTGTCATGGCAAATGGGATGAGCTATGAGGAGAAAATAAATGAGGCAGGCACTTGCTGAGATGTGAAGGTGGTTTATTGTAAAATAAAGCACAAGGTGAAAAATGGCAAAATGGAACTAAAGATAATCTAAGCTGGGAAAAACTAAACTACTAAACAGCAAACATGAACACGAACATGAAGGAGGGTGAGCAGAGACATATGAAGGTGGATGGCAGGGAAAACACACAGAGAATACACAGTTAATTCACAGATAGACCAGCGATTATTACACAAGTAGAAACAACTTAAATACACACAGAAGAACACAGGGAGATTACACACAGGTGGGGAACACAGAAGGAAGTAATTGACAAGACGAGACAGGGGAAGCAAAAATGAATACACTCACATGACACACGGACCTTCACAATAAAACAGGAAACAAGAAACAAAAACAAGGAAGCTGACTTGACGCTGAACTAAACCGTTAAACAGAATAAACTGAAACATAGAAAATAATATTCAAAACAGGATAACAAAAGAATCAGAACATAAATCATAATACAGAAGAATACCAAAACATAAGAAACTGAAAATGCTGGGTCAAAATGAACCACAACCCTGACAAGTTCATACTCAAGTTTTAAAAAACAAAACACTACCACTATTCTGGTATACCTGTATGCTAAAAATACACTGCACACAAAATATTTCATAGTTCAGCAATACTGATCAAGCTAATAAGCTTTTTTCCCAAAGGAAAAAATAAGTTAAATACAGCTTACTAGGGTATATATTAGACTTAACCCTCTGGCGTCCAGGGTATAATTGGCCGTTTTTGATTTTTGATTTTACCTCTATGTTTCACCTTTAAAAACTGTTTATGTTGCCTTATTTGGTATCAGTATTTTCAGCACAACCTCTAATATCTGAAATGTGAGTTATTTTTTTCATTTTGACATACTATATTTACACAATTAAAATGTAAATTTAGACAAAA